CCAGCTTGACAAATTGGAAAGAAAATAGATGGCTCTCTGAGTCAGATTTGTCTCATGTTATAAGCTGGTTTGCGTAGCATGGAGAATGGTGCTACAAGGCCAAAAAACTCTTTTAAAATTGTGCTGTCCAAATAGTTTCTGTTATGTTGATGCAAAAGTAATTAGAATTAGAATTCCCTGGGGAACTTTAAAAAATTCCAATCCCTGGGTCAACTGAATTAGAAACTCTGGAGGTGGTTCCTGGGCATCAGTATTTTTAAAAAGAAAGAAACAGAAATTGAAAGACAAGCCACAAACTGGAGAAAGTGTTTGCAAAAATACATAACTAATATAGGACTTTCTCCAGAGTATATAAAGAATGCTTAAAAGTTAATAATAAGAAAATAAAAAACCTGATTAAAAAATGGGCAAAAGGGCTGGGCGTGGTAGCTTATGCCTAGAATCCCAGCACTTGGGAGACCGAGGTACACAGATCACGAGGTCAGGAGTTCGAAACGAGCCCAGCCAATATGGCAAAACCCCGTCTCTACTAAAAATACAAAAATTGGCTGGGCATGGTAGCACATGCCTGTAGTCCCGGCTACTTGGGAGGAGGCAGAAGAATTGCTTGAACCCGGGAGGTGAAGGTTGCAGTGAGCCGAGATCACGCTGCTGCACTCCAGCCTGGGTGACAGAGTGAGACTCCTTGTCAAAAAAAAAAAAAGGGCAAAAGATTTAAATACTTTACCAAGGAGAGCACATGGATGACAAACCCACAGAAAGATGTCCAACATCGTTAGTAATTAGAGTCATGCAAATTAAAACCACATTGAAATATTGCTATATACCTTTTAAAATGGCAAACAAACCAACCAACCAACCACAAAAAACAACACTTGACAATTCTGAGTGCTGGCAAGGAACTTCCACATATACCTGTGCGAGTCAAAAATAATACAGCTACTTTGGAAAAATGCTCAACTGTTTATTGTAAAGTTGCGAATTCACATATCATACAAATTAACAACTTCACTCCTAAGTGTTTACTTGAGAAACCACAACTTGTCTTTATATAAAAACCTACCTGTAGATATTTACAGTGAGTTTATTTATATTGGTGACAGACTGGAAACATTCCAGTTGTCCTTCGACTAGTAAAAGAATAAACGAATGGTGGTATATCTGTACAATGGGATACTACTCAGCAAGAAAATGGAACAACCTTCTGGTACACACAACATGAATGAATTTCAAATGCATCTTACTAAGTGAAAGAAAGCAAACTTAAAAGTTACATACTGAATGATTCTATTTACATCATGTTCTGGAAAAGGCAAAACAATAGGGACTGAAAACAAATCAGTGGTTGCCAGGGGCTGGGAGTGGGAGGAGGGATTAGCTACAAAGAGGCAGCATGATGAAATTATTTTGGGGGTGTGGAGCTCTTCTGCATCTTGATTGTGATGAAGCTTATGTGATTATTTGTGTTTATCAAAGCCAGTAGAAACATAAATTAAAAGGATGCATTTTATGATATGTAATTATAACTCAGTAAAACTGAACTCCAAAATCCATTTTTCATTATTATAGAAAAAAGTTTCCAAGTGATTTAAACTCATAGCCATGGTTGAGAGATATTGCTGGCGTTCTCTCTCAACCTATCAACAGATTTGAATCTGGGTTCTGTCATTTAAACTTCAGTTTACATATTTTCCACAGATGTGAAATTGGAGATAATAAAACCTACTTTAAAGTGATAAAGAGTTTTGAGGGTCACGCTCTCTGGAAAGCACCTGATATAGGGTTTGGCACAAAATAAAAATAACTACGTATTTAGAGCTATGTGCTTGGCAATGTACCAGGCACTTAATATGCATCATCTTTCGTCTTGACAACAACCCTATGAAGTAGGTATTAATTGTGTTTAAAGTGGAGAAACTGAAGTTCAGAGAAATTATGGAACTTGCTCAAGGTCTCACAGCTAGTCAGTGGCTGAGCCAGGTTTCAAGTCTAAACTGAATGTTATTGATTGCTATGCTACTTCTGAAATCTATATTTCAAACAAACATCTCACTCTTTATCACTTCCTAGCTTTCCATCTCTCTGTCCCAGTATTTTAATTGCAATGATATCTTGACCTCATTGACAACTCCAATTTCTACTGATTCTACCACTGTTCATGAGTCGTCACTCTTGTGTCTTCACTTCCCTTCATATTCAGCCTAGATTTTGTAAGTCAGCACAGTTTACTCTTCCTTTGAAAATACCCTTAACCCCATTACTTTTTTCTCCCTCTGCGTGGAAAAAGTTAAATCTAAGTTAATCCCAATTTTCTCTTTACTTCATTCTTGCAACTAAGGAGCAATTATTGCTGAAGATAAATGCACAATTGTGGAGACTGGACTCACCCTCAGGTGAGCCAGGTTTTGATTAAGACCAGAAGGAGAAAAGGACCATGAATTAGAAAGGATGAAGATATAGGGGAGTTTGATGATTGTGGTATGGAGAGGCAGTAGGAAGTTTTGTCAAAGGTGAGGCAATGTGGGGATGATGATGTAAAAGTAGAAAGAAGGTGCTGAAGGGGCACTTCCTTTAGTTTAGTGACCAACAATCACATAGGGAGAGGCCTGCTTGAATAAACCTGCTATAAATATGTGAACATTGGCACAAGTTATAATATTTTGGTCCTGGCCCAGGCTAAGGACTCTAGGAAGATTCTAAATGGCCTCAGTGGTTAGATGAATCAGTCATAAAGCATAGAGAAGTGTTATGGATGGGGCCATATGTGGAATCCTGTTTTGGGGAGGGGTAGGGTTTTTTCTTCTTGTGCTTGGTGCTGTGGTGAAGGCCTCAGTTCCTGGGCAGGACCAGGGTCTTTAGTGGAGGTGGGCTAGTGATGTGCTGGTAAAGGCTTAACAACTGACTCTGAACAACAATAAAAACAACAAACACATAGTTCCCATAGCTGATTCCAAGTTAACAACATGACATCACTGAATGTAAAGTTGGAAACAGGTATGCACAATCAGTACTCTTGGCAGCTGGTGTGAGCTGCTCCAGCATAAGACAGTCTGGGCCAATCTCAGGCTCTCCATGTGAGCAGTGGAAAAGTCTAGATTATACATCGCCCCTGAGCACTGTGGTGGGGGTGGAGGACAGGCTCTGGTTTCTGGATGTAATGTATCCTGTGAAGAATAAGACACAGGTACTTCATTCACCAAAATCACTTTGGTCTGGGAGACTGAGTCAAAATAGGATGAGATCCTGAGAAAACTGTGTAGTCTTTATTAACTTCAGGGATCGGCCCTGTGCCTTCTGTAGAACCCTCTGGTTACATGGCTGAGTTTTGTTCTACTATTAACATTCTGTTCCACATAACACGTTTAGATCTAGAAACTCATGGTGAGTCAATTTCTTTGGCAAAAAAGTTTGGAGATAATTTCTATCACATTAATAGAATTGCAAGTATTCCTAAAGTTCATCCATGTGGATAATTTATTTTAATCTGTAAGAGAGAAAACCCCTCTATTCTGAAGAAACCTCAACTGTTAGGATATTCATGCTTATAAGAGGGTGACTTAAAGAGAAGGGAATAAATGGTAAAATCAACAGGAAAGAGAAGGCATGACAGGATGTTAATAAACTCAGCTTATTTTCCTCATCAGATTAAAGAGACACTAAACACAATCCTCACGCTTTCTGATTGTGTGTTTGTAGTCTGTCTTTGTGTCCTACATGAAGACTATTTAATCTACATGTATGATATTAATGTAGTGCTTTTCTTTTGATGGCATGCATTGGTACACAGAATTCCCAATATAAGTTAGAATTCCTGCTTTTCCTGAAACGTTCAAAGAGACCAAGGCATTCACTGTCAGTACGTGGGTTGGCCCACATGATCTGCCACCTAAAACCCAGAAAAGCCTCATGCTTTTGGAATGCAATCATCAAGAAGCAGGAGGTTTTCCTTTCTCAAGTTGTCCATCAGCCTACTCCAGCAATTCTGGGAAGATACTGTAGATTGCAATTGAAGAGAAGAGGAAGGAAGAGGAAAGGCAATAGGAGAGCCATTTTTACAACGTATCGGTATGTAAGTCCTGGCACCTTATTTTAAAAAATGAGTTTTATGAGTCTTTCTCAAGGGGAGACAAGGAGCTGCTAGTGTGCCTGTCTCTGTGGAATATAAATCTGTGGAGGTGTTTGTGGCAGATGGCGCATTGTGATTCTCACAAGGCCTTTAAATCTCCTGGCTTGGCTCCCTTCTCCTTGGGGGACACGATGCCAGTTTGAGGTTTATCAGATCCCAATCATATCAGATTTATTGACTTGTCATTTTGTTGTTCTGCCTATCTTTATTATTTATATCTTAGCTGTATCCTTCCCCTCTTCCCCAAGAGGATGGAAGATAGGGTTTCACCTATCTTCTGGTGAAAAGGAGAGTTAAAATAAAAACAGAGCCATTAGAACATGATGGGGAATGAGAAGCTGGGAGATGTATGAGAACAGAAATAATTCTCTGTATTGAAAAAGTAGACCAGGTGTAGTGGCTCACGCCTATAATCTCAGCACTTTGGGAGGCTGAGGTGGGCAGATCATGAGGTCAGGAGTTAAAGACCAGCCTGGCCGACATGGTGAAACCACATCTCTACTAAAAATACAAAAATTAGCCAGCTGTGGCAGGTGCCTATAATTCCAGCTACTTGGGAGGCTGAGGCAGAAGAATTGCTTGAATCCAGGAAACAGAGGTTGCAGTGAGCTGAGACTGTGCCACTGCACTCCAGCCTGGGTGACAGAGCAAGACCTCATCTCCAAAAATAAAGAAATAAAGAAAAAGAAAGCTACTATAATTGAGCCAAAGCCTGGCCCTAACCTCACTGGCAGTCAAGGCAAAGAAGAGCATGATGATCCGCTTTTCTGTCACTTCATCCATCTCACCACTAAATACTCGGAGAAGGGGGACGAGCAGTGACCAGGCTGGTAAGCACACTTTCCACAGTACTTCCTTGCACAGAGACACTTACCTGATAATATGGATGCTACGGCTGCAATGATGAAGGACACAATGACACCAGGTCCTGCCATTTCCTTGGCCACCAGGCCAGAGACTACGTACATGCCAGTGCCCACACAGCTGCCAACGCCAAGAGAGATGAGGTCCACTGTGGTGAGCACCTGGGCTAGCTTGGTTCCATGTGCTGTGGTGGTCCCAGTTCCCTCTAGCATGGACTCCACTGGTTTGGTGCGTAGGATTCTGGAGTGCATTGCATTCCAGGCAGCCCCCCACTGCACCCGCCGGGGGTCCAGCGAGGCAAGGAAGCCACTCATCTTGAGCGATAGGGGTTGCAGTGAAGTTCAGCTGATGAAAGGGGGCTACAAAGCCTTAGTGGATGGTTCTGGAACTCATCTAGTGAACAGGGATCTCCCTTTTAGGAAAGGTCCAGAGGGACCCAATGCAGCCTTCTCCTGGGCATGAATGTCTGCAGGAAAAACACAAGAAAGCAGAAGATAAGACCAAGTGAGAAACAAACCTTGACTTGGAGGAATGGTTGGAGGTTAGTGTCCTGAATTGGTAGAATTGGAATCCCTGTGTGCTCATAACACAGAAGGGTTCCATGGTTCCACTCTCCTTGCTCTTCTCTCCAGCCCTCAAGGACAGTTGGCATGTGTACCGTGTTGCGCAGTCATCCTGATGAGGATGGTCTGAGTTAGGGCTCTACCACTTACTGCTCTGCGGTCTTGGGTGAGTCAAGCCTGTGTTTCAGTCTCAACTGTCCAATGGAACAATGAAGTCTCTTTCCTAGTGTCGATGTGAAAATTAGATGAGTGACATCCATCAGGAGTTTAAGACTGCCTGGCATATAGAAAGTGCTCATCCATCTCAATTCTAATTAACTCTTACTTGACTCTGCTAATACTTGGTCTATGATTCTTGGGCATATTATGAGGGGACATGATATCTACATTTTTTTTTTCTTTTTTTTTGAAACAGAGTTTTGCTCTTGTTGCCCAGGCTGGAGTGAAATGGCGATATCTTGGCTCATCAGAACCTCCGCCTCCCGGGTTCAAGCAATTCTCCTGCCTCAGCCTCCCAAGTAGCTGGGATTACAGGCATGCACCACCACGCGTGGCTAACTTTGTATTTTTAGTAGAGACAGGGTTTCTCCATGTTGGTCAGGCTAGTCTCGATCTCCCGACCTCTGGTGATCCACCTGCCTTGGCCTCCAAAGGTGCTGGGATTATAGGCATGAGCAACTGTGCCTGGCCTGATATCTACATTTTTTTTACATAAAGATGCAAAATTAGATCTGTGAGTCTCAAGAGGGGCCATGCCACCACCTGGATTATTTTGGCACTTGGCTCTCAAATGAAATAAAAAATGTTTTGGGATTTATTTTTTACTCCCAAACATCGGAGTGGCAGGAAGTACTCCTGGCATCTGGGGGGACTCCGAGATGTGAAATGTGTAGGACATTGTCACACAACTTTCAGATATTTTGCTTGACATTCCTGTAGCTGAAAATGCTGGGGATGATGATCTGAGCCTAGAACCTCACTCTCTTTTACATATAAACTCAGGATATTTTGGATAGTCTTAATATTCAAGTAAATTGAATTTTCCAGGAATACAACTATAGAATAAATCAAAGGAAGATGATAATGTCTTTAATTTGGAACTTAAGAGGAGTTGTTCACCCTTTCAGAAAACCAAGGCCCCATGGAATGCCACTCATGGTATTGCATTTCTCATGTCACACTCTGGAACAGCCTGCCATCTGGAACTGGCACATTTGTGGTGATTTTTCACATAGTGCAAGCATCTGACATCTGCATTTGGATATGCCTGGGTATTTACACAGTGAAATATGTTGTATATAGGTAGATTATCAATAATTTATCTTCAGGATACTAAAAGGAGGTATGACAAAATATTTATTATAAAAAGGGTTGTTGGGTGTTGAGAACTACAGTGTTAGGTAATTTCTAAAGTTTAGTAAATTAGAAAATGCAATTATATGAAGCTACTTTCTTTGGAAGCTAGAAGCTGGAGAAAATTTATAAGAATTGTAGAAAATTTATAAAACTCATAAATGTATAGAATTTTTGAAGTATAAGCAGACATGGATTCCAAATACCGTACTGACAAGCTGAGGACATTTACATAATCAGTAAGCACCTGCCTACCTAATTTTTTTTTTTTTTTTTGCATCATTTCAACTTTTATTTTAGATTTGGGCGGCACATGTGCAGATTTGTTACATGGGTATATTGCATGATGCTGAGGTTTGGGGTACAATTGATCCATCACCAAGGTACTAAGCATAGTACTCAATAGTTTTTCAACCTTTGCCTCCCTAAGTTCCCTCTCCCTCTCCCTCTAGTACTGCCTACCTAATTTACTCATATTATTAATGAATACTAAGCACTTAACATAGCACTTGTCTGCTTCTAAAGGCTTTTCAAACACTAATTAGAAGAATCAGGTGAAATGTGGCTGTTTGGTTCGCAGGCTTGGGTGACAGCCTTTCTGGTTTAATTTTTTCCCAGCTTTGATGGTATTGCTTCATGCTGTGTTTTTATTCTTGACAACACCTTAGACATCACTATAGTTGGATAACACGCCTGAGATATTTAACAGGCTAGAGTGTCTGCATTCCTCCCTTCCATACCCCTTCCTCCTCTCCTCTTTCTTCTAAAGATTTTCGCATTTGTAAGAAAATAAACCATATGTTTACCAGGAAGGCTGCTAGCTAGAACAACTGCTTTGGTTGAGGCCTTGTGGGGAAATGAATCCACATATCTATTTACTTCCACTCGGTCAGCATATAAGGAACACCTGTTATGTGCCAAACATGGTTTGAGGCTTATAGGTCCCTGCTCTCATGGAGCTTGCAGCCTTGGATAAGAGATAATGGATGCTCAGATCACATTGCAAGTGAGAGGGTTTACTTTTCTTTTTGTTTTTCCCTGAACAGCTTGACTTTTACTTTTTCTCTTATTACAGAAACATAGCATATCTACTGCAGAAAAGTCAGACAATATAAACAACAAAAAAACCACATGAGTAAATAAAATATTACCCAGCTAGCTACAACCTTATATTCTTTCAGACCCTTTTCTTTGTAGCTACACACCTATTTGAATGCACATATATATGTATGTGTGTGTTTTGTAAATGTTATTATACCATTTATTCTGACTTGAAACTTTCTTGTTTTGCTTAACAATATGTAAGAATGTTTTTCCACATCAATAGTTATGGAAACATCATTTTTAATAGCTGAATAGTAGCTTCACTATTGTAGCTTCAGTGTTCTTATTCAGAAATTGGCCTGTTGCTTTAGCTTTAATTCATCCATTCAGAAACAATACAAAGCATCTTCTCTGTGTCAGCCCAGGCTTCTGTAGCAGTTGCTGTGGTAAATGAGACAGTCAAGGTCCTGCTCTAATGGAGCTGACGTTTGGTGAGGAGGGAGGAGGCAAAGGACAGGTTCACAAATAAAACCAGTCCATTTCAGAGAGGGATAAAGGCTGTGTTATGGGCTGAATCATGTCCCCCCAAATTAGAATGTTGGAGTCCTGGCTGCCACACCTCAGAATGTGACCTTATATGGAAATAATATAATTACAGGTATAATTAGTTGTGGGGAGGTCATACTAAAGTAGAATGGGACCTTAGTCCATACAACTGGTGTCCTTGTTGAAAGGGAGAAATTTGTACACAAAAGTCACAGTCATACACACAGGGAGAGCAGAGATAAAGTGATGCCTCTGTAAGTGAAGGGATGCCTCAGATTGCCCTGAAACCACCAGAAGCTAGATAAGAGGCAGAAGCCAACCCTGCTGACACCTTGATCATGGATTTCTAGACTCCAGAATGGTGAGATAATACATTTCCATTGCTTTAGCCACCTAGTCTGTGGTATTAGGTTGGCGCAAAAGTAATGGCCATAAACCACAAATTGCAAACACTGCAATTACTTTTGTACCAACATAGTACTTTGTTACGGCATCCCTAGCAAACTAGTACAGGCTTAGAGGAAATAAAGTGGGGTGATGAAGGGGTGAGAAAGTCTCCGTGGACATGACATTGGTTCCTGAGTGGTGCAAAGGAGCCAGTTGTACCAGGTGTCAGGGAAGTGTTCCTTACATTGCGGTTCAAAGGGGTAAAGTGGGTGTTGCATCTGCTGGGATCTAAGTGAGACTGATATGGGGTAAGGGGGAGGATTTGAGTATCCTGTTGACTAATTTAATCCTCACAACATATCTGTCTTTACAGATGAGGCAAAGGAGGCCAGGAGAGTGGCAGTCACTTGCCCAAAGTCACCAGAGCCAGAACTTGGCCAGGGGCTCTGTGGGGCTCTTTTGCTTGAGCTGCACAGAGGTCAGACTGCCAAGGGGCTGGTCAGCCAAGATAAAAGTGGTGTGATTTTGATATTCAGCACAGTGAGAAGCCCCTGGAGGGCTTTATTCAGATGAGCGATATGAGAGGACTCACATTTCTCAAAGCTCATAGTAACCGCGGCAGAAATTTGGACCTGGGACCCTTTAAGACAACTCGGGATGGATGTGAAAAGGCGAGGGCTGTGGACCTGCTGCAGGGTGTGGCCGACAAGTAAGCGGAGATCTGCAAGCCAGTGGGACTCTGCAGCCAGGGCCGTGCGGACGCACAGGACACTATATAGGAAGGGGAAAAACTGCCAGCCAGCTAGAGGACAGCCTCCCAAACCCTGTGCTGTTGGAATCAAGGATAGTGGCCCCCTGGCAGATGGTGACTGTGGTAAATGCAGGTGGGCTTCATGCCAGCTGTGGTGAATGGGTTTCCCATATTGAGGATCCTTGGCGGTGGCTATCTTGGCTTTACATTGGAATTACCCGAGGATCTTTCAGAACTGCTGGGGCCTGTACCCCACCCCAGAAATTCAACGGTAATTTGTCTGAAGTATGGCCTATCTATAGGCCTATCATAATGACAAGTGCTCCATGTGGAAAACCAGGTATTGCCATTTTCCACAGGAGGCCACTTGTCTGGCAGGTACTTCCTGTTTCCTTCCCTGGGCAGGTCGTGGGGCCTCTTAACTGCTCTCCTGGGCAGGCAATGACTGTGGTTGCGGCGCTATCTGCAGATATCCCCGGGGATACTTGTCCCGTTCAGCCTTCATCAGAAACTCACAAGGACACCGAGAAACAAACCAGCCTTGTTATGAAGGTGATGGCTTCTATTTGCACTTCATATTCATGGTAATTAGAAACTGTATTGAAAATGTGGAGAATCAACCAAAAGCAAAGATTGAGGGTGACAAGAATGCCTTCCTGGTCTCCTGTTCCCTTCACACAATTCCCAAGTGCTTGCTTTATTGATGCAAATGGGGAGTAGGGGGCATTTCCTTTCTTGGTAGGAACTTTACTGGAGAGAACAAAATGTACAAAAGTAAACATGCTTCTAGGTGACTATTAACAATATCCATATTCAGTACCC